TCGAAACGTTGCCAAGATGCTCTCAATCTTACACGGGAAAAGACCCAAACACGCCAAGACCTGCATACCTGTACTCATGAAAATCTACAAATATATAAATATAAATATAAATGTTTTCGTAAGTTTTCGTGGGTACTTACATGTATGGTATTCAGCTTTGTTTGGATATTTTCCCATGTCATTGTAGTTGTGCTTTTAAAGTTGTAGTAACGTTTCGGCAGAATCTCATCTGCCATCATCAGGCTTCTGTATTGTGTTCGTCTGTGAGTTAGACTTTCAAAGCCGTTATATAAAACTAAAAGCCTATTTTTGCAACAAAGTGCAAATTTTTCTCCATTCTTGGAAATCCAAGACTGTCTTGAAGTTCATCTCTGCCTCTGGATGGTGCCAGATTAGCACCTTCCCAGGCCTTATACCAGGGGTCTTCAAACTTGACAGCTTTAAGACTTGTGGACTTCAACTCCCAGAAATCCTCCTCCAGTCATGTTAGCTCAGGAATTCTGGGAATTGAAGTCCCCAAGTCTTAAACTTGCCAAGTTTGAAGACCCCTGCTTTATACCTAAGGGATGAGACTAATAAGACCAAAGGCATTGATAAGAAAAATATGCCATGGGATGTGAACATTAAAAACGAAAAACAAAAACAAAAAATGGAACTTTTTTCTTTAGGACGGGGGACCTTATCTTATGACATAGCATGTCAACATTAATTATCTACCTTCTTTCGGAGTTGTTGCCTCAAAGCTTGCCTTGCACTGGCTCAACTTCTGCCCATAAATAATCTGGCTCACTTGATGAACAATACTTTCCTTTTTTTTTTTTTTTAACTTGCCAGAGGTGTTGCTGTACAACATGAGGCTGAATGAAAGGCTGATCAGGCCCTTCCAAGCTCCTGCCACAGTCCGAAACTTCTCAGGTAGTCAAGTGTTTTTGTTCCGAAGCGGCAGACAATCTGATTCTGAGGACTCGTCAGAGGAAGAGTTCAACGCGACGGAATTACGTGCCAGGGGGAAAGACCCCCAGCCATCCGGTTCTTCCCAGAAGAGAGTTGGGGACGTACAGCTTCTAGAGCGGGTCGTTAAAGGAGACGACAACCTCATCAAGTTGGCTCTGCAATACGGGTGCAAAGTAAGAAGTGGTGCCTTTGGAGGCAAAGCGATGGCTCTTGTTTCCTAACCAACTGTATTGATAGGTGTTTTTATTTTGAGCCAAGGTTGTTTACAGAATTAATTTCCAGTTCAGGATGTTCAACGACTAGGAAGGGAAAATCTGGTTTTTCTGGTTGAGAGGTTGGCAAAGGTGCCTGCTCCGATGCCACGTTTGACACATCGGGGTGGATTAGGAGCTTACGTGCTTGCATTCGGTCCTTTAATAAGTAAGCTATCCATCAGATTATTTTTAGCTGATCGAAGAACATTGTGCAACTTGAAAATCAAGGCTGATTTTATTATTTTATTTATATGGCGCCAAAGCAGTTGATGCCCCCAATACCCCTTTCTCCTCCTCCTTTCTCCATGGTGACCCTGTGGAGTGAGTTGGACCAAGATTAAACTGTGGATTTAATTTGATCTTGGAATAGAAGAAAGTCTGGTCTGATTCACAGTTAAGGGATCTCCATGGGTTTTGCATAGATTTTTCTCCCCCAAGGGATTAATTTGGACCTGAAAGTTGTGTTGTATTTTTATAAATGATTGTAGAAAGCTTTCTTTTTGCTAATCGTTTGCACAGCTTGTTTGGGGAGTTTTATGCAATGTATCATTTGTTTATGAAATAAGTTGTCTTAGGGAAAAAAAAGAATGAGAATTCCCGATTCTGGATCCTAACAATGTGTGACTTTAGCCTACTTGTAAACTCACAAAGTTCTGATTAGGCAATATTGTTGACTCCCTCAACTGGGAGAGTTCAGATGCAAAGGGACTATAATATTTCATGTTGGATAGAAACAGTATAACACTCAAAAGACATGAAAGAAAGAGAATGTGGAGAATGCTGTGCTGCATTCTATTCTGTATTTTAACTGCACTCATGTAATATCTGATCAAAGCTGTTTTGAAAGTTTGTAACTAAACGCTTTAACAAATGAGAAAGTTTGGTGCAAGAACTCTTTGTCAATCCTTGGCTCCATAAGAGGAATGTCTAGGACCATACTTGAACTTTACACTAAACTAGTGCAAGACAATCTTCATGTAATTACTGGAGCATATCACCCGAATTAGTAGTGAAAACCAAACCATCTTTGTTTTAAAAAAAATGACATTTTTGTATTTTCAGGTTTCAAAGTTAGGATTAAGCCTGATTTGTCCAGAGTAACACCCCAAAATGCTTGCTTTCTTCCAGGCCGTAAGAGATGTTTCCACAATACTTTTTTAAATGCCTGAATGAACACTTTGCTAAATGCAACCAGTGTGATTATTTAACTGGCAGGAGTTAAGAATACCAGTTTTGAACTGGAGTTGTGTTGAATTCTGTCTTGTTGGGAAGAGAGTGGTGCTGAATCGTAGAATTGTCTGTTGTTATCAGCATCATTAAAGAAGCTTGTTGAAAAAGTACCAAGAATAATAGAGCTAATTCACAAACAAGTTTCCTGAAGTGCAACAGAATCCTAGGATTATCTCTGGGTTTAGCTGGCAACAGCTGCTAGTACAAGATTAACAAAATATAACTCTTGCCTTACATGAAAGGAAGTTGTTAGCTTGTCATGAAATGTTAATTCCTTTCCAGTATTTAGAAGGCATACTTAACCTAACCATCTCTTTTTCAGTCTTTTGTTGTGATTCACTAAATTTTGAAGAACTGTCCAATTCTAAAGGGCAGTTCTAAGGTCTTGCAAGGCAAATTTATACAGGGACACAGAGATACATACTTCAGAATGCTAGAAGCTTTCAGTAATTGGATTAATTGGATTGGATCCCCTCTGGATTCTGAGAAACCAGCTGGATCTTGCAATGGGTTATCTAAATGATATAAAAATTGATACCGAAGAAATGTGAAGAAGAAAAGGATCCAAAGTGTGTTACACTCAGAAGGTCCTGATAGTGGTTAAATCTTCTAGGTTTTCCATTTGGAACCTTATCACTGTAAAAGGCTAAGCTATTTTCAAAGATAAGAACAGATAAGGAATAATCCTAGAACACAATTGAATAAGGAGCTACCGCTAGATTTGAGTTCTGTTTGGTGGAAGCAAAGCATTCAGGTTGGATTTTTTTCTGCAGCGAGTCATATTCTCATGAGCGTATTGTTAGGAGGAGGTATCTAATATGCAAATAGACCAAAAGGAGGAGGGCATACATTAACTCTACCCCTTATTTATTCTGGTGTCATTTTTAAAAATTATTATCATTCTTTTTCTGGCCCTCTCTGTACCATCCTTATCAAACTGCAGGGAAGGAACTAATTTTGGGGCAAGGGCTTTTGAACCAAATAGGAAGTTGCAAATTTCCACCTGTACTAGAGGAAAAAATGGTGCTCATTCAAAATGTTGACATTGCATTGCCCTGTCTAGGTTCATATTCTCCCATCTAGCAACTCTTCCTGGTTGGGCATGCTCCAAGTCCCTTCTCTGGACCAATGTCCTCTGGTTGGATCTACAGTCGTGTGAAAAAGGAAATGCACGCTCTTTTGAGTTCTACGAGTTTTACATATCAGGACATACCAGTAGCAAAATTTATCTGGTCCTTAGCAGTTTTTAAAAGTAGATTAAATACAGCCTCAGATGAACCACCACATATGGAATATTTACAGCATGCAATCTGTAGGAATATTTACACCATGTAATATTTACACCATGTAATGCTGTAGGAAGCCTGCCTTTTTTTCTTTTTAATAGCAGCCCCCGCTGTCTAGAATGGTCTCTATCCTGAGTGTCAAATGGCTCCAATTTTGCTAACCATTTGGAAGTTATTACATACCTGGTTTTTCCAATAGTTTTTAAGGTTGTAATATTAGACCCACCTGCCTTTGAAGATTGGATTGTATGTTTTTTTTTTTTTTAAAGACTTTTTGTTGATTGTTTTAATGTCCTGGTAACTGCCCAATCACTTGGAAAGGTGTGTGGGTATGTGTGAGCCTATAAATTCAGTAAATAAAATGTTTCATTTTATGAACCAAAGGCACCTGCTTTTTCAAGAGGAACTGGACTTCCTTCTTTTTCTTTGAAGAAGTTTCACTGGTCATCTAAGAAGCTTCTCCAGCTTTGACTGGACAGCTGGTCCTTTGCATCTTTTTAGAGAGTCATTGAGGCCATTTGGAGGTTTGACATTTGCATTACTCAGGTGACCCTGAGGACACAGACAAACCTCCAAGTGTCCTCAATGACTTTCTAAAGAGAATGCAAATGACCAGCTGTCTGCAAGGAATATAAATCCTTCCATTCCCCACCATCCAGTAAGAGACTAAGTTTCTTGGATGAGAAAGGAAACATCTTCAAAGAAAAACAAGCAAGTCCGGTGGCCTCCTGAAAAAGCACCTTTGGGACAACCACAACCTGAATGACTGAAAATCTCCATAGACATTTCCCTTTACCAATGTTCCAGGTTGAAGATATCAAGAGGGTTAATAACTTTATCCAAGAACAAGACTTCTATGCTCTGAAATCCATCAAGATTCCAGTCAAGGTTAATGGACTACTGACGGAGACCAGCAATGAGCTGCTACCCCTTCAGACTCCTGCTCCACGACCCGAATACTCCATATCCATAGATCCAGAAAGCAGGAGTGGTGACCATGAACAAATCGATCAGTATTTCAGAGGGATTGACCAAAACATTGAAAGAGTGACACAGCTGGAAATCCCTTCATGCAGAGATCCCTTCATTGAACCTTCGAACCAGTCAACTCCGGAGCAGAAAGCCACCTGCTCCGGAGCAGATTATGGGATCCAGTGGTGGAAAGCAGTCTTTCTTATGCTCCTGATAGGAATCGTTTTGCCTGTGTTTTATATTGTCTATTTTAAGACCCAGCAACTAGATGTGGTTCCCAGTACCTCCAACACGACGGAACCCGTTAAAATCTCAGTGAACGGTTCTTTGGTGGGAAGATCAAACTATGTTGGGCGAGAAAGTACCCCCACTATCCATACTACTAAACAAACTTTCATCCCACCAGGAGGGTGACATGGCCTGGCCTGCTTTCCCTGCCCCAAAAGATCTGGAAGTAACAACAGATTCTGGGTCGTCGTCGTCCCCCTGTCCCCCCAAAGTACAGTATTGAGCAGTGGAGCCTATCTTTGTTATTTGTGGTTACTGATGAATTTTGAGTGAAGGCCAGGCAGAGGAACAACAGGGCAAAATGAGTCATGGAAGATAATTAGCCAATTGTGAGCCTGCTCCCAACTGTGTAAGAAGGGACGTTTTTTTAATACCCAAAATGAGGGCAGAACCCCAACCTACAGCGGCATCCTACCGATGCCCAGGTTTTCCACACTAGACCTCAGCTTCCAAAACCCCTTTTTAACTTTCTTCAGTCCCTTTTTACTGTTAAAACACATTTCTCAACACGGTGTAACTAGGGTGATTTTTTTCAGTGAATGCAGTTTGGGTGATATCCCTATTCCTCGTGCAGGGTTTTGTGAGGCCTGGCCCTTTTGAGGAAATAAGATGCATCCAAATTATCCAGCAAAAGCCAGAACACTGCATGTGTTGAGCAAAAATGATTAAAAGCCATGTTTGAGACCTGCAAATTAGAATTTGGGGGCGTCGTTTACATACATAATTTATTTTTGTTTTGCAAGTTGCCAGTATAGATCTATTGTAAACCTTGTGGCCAGGGAAGCTACAGGTCTATTTTGACATCAATCTGCCTCAACTGGAGAGGGCTTTTTTTCCTGTTTTTAATGCGCATGTTTTAATGCTCATTTATGTTATGTCTCTCATTGACTAGCACCCCACTTATAGATGAGTGGATGTATACAACTGGCTAGAAAACTTCCTCTTAAGCTTCGTGACTGGAATACAGGAAGTCCTTACAAACAATTCATTTAGTGACTGTTCAAAGTTACAGCAGCACTGAGAAAAGTGACTTATGACCATTTCTCATGCTCGTGACTGTTCAACTATACCCACATGATCAAAATTCAGATACTTGGTAATCCAATTATTTGACTAACCCTGAATAGCTTCAGTAAAGACGCAGCCAGTGGTGGAGAACTTTTGTCTGGGCCCTTGGGCAACTGTTCTAAAAATGCTTCCCTCCCTTTTCATTGTGGTGAATCTAATATCAGAATTGGATGAAATACGCAAGAGCAAAAAACCAGCAGTGGAATAATTGGACTTCCCTCATTGCTCTCTATAAAGTATTAATCATCAAGGGGAAGATATTAAACAGTTCTTCTTTCCAATTATGTCTACCCATGGAAAATAGTACAAAGATGATGCCATGAAAAATGATGAACATTCTACCAATAAAGGAGAATATTTGTTGAAATGAAGGGTCCTTGGTGCTCTGTTCTTGGTTGTTTTCTTGCAGAGGTTTTAAACATGATGAAGTTAGATAATGAAATATCTGCAAGATGACAACCAAACGCAAAGAGCACTACGGGCCCCTCAATTAACATTCTTTGAAATGAATTTCTTTCAGATGATAAAACAAGACTTTCTTAGTTAGGTCCATAGCTGATTGGCTTACTAATTTCCATTTCCTCTTTGAGTAACTGACAATCCAATAACGAAACAGGTTACCAAAGTTTATAATTCTGTGGTGCAACAGAGTCCTGATCTAGAACATTCCTGTTCATTGATGTTAACCAATCTGAGTAATGCAAGCAAATAAAGTCCTATGATCCCAAATCATATACCATATCTTCCATTATCAGTTATCTTGTCAAATGTAAGACAAATAAAACATTTAATGGACTGGTTGCACCACTGAAGTTCTTTCTTTTAACACATATTGGGCCAGGAGAAAATTTTGATGGGAGCAACTTGAATATGGTGAAACAGAAAGGAGTTTGTCCCTCTTCATTCTTCCTATGCAAAACTGCCCCCCTTTTTTCACACCCTGTCCTCCATTGCTGTCATTAAAAAAAAAAATAAAAGTATTTCCCACTTCTACAAATCAAATAATGTGATATTGTAATAAAAAGACATAAGCAAACCTGATTTTTGGTTGAAGTAGTTTAAGAATCTTTGGAATATTTTTAATTGAGTATTTAAACTTATCATCTTTGAGCTATGACTATATGTTTTTTAATAAAGTTGAAGTATTAAGTTTACATGTCAAAGTGTGCCTCTTATTTGCCGCATGTTCCTTTGGGGATCTTACTAATTTCTCAGTAACAGAAACACTTTTCTCTCTCTTACACATCAGGTTTTAGATGCAAAAAGAAACTGACATTGAGGCATTTAACAGAGAAAAAGAAAAAAAAACATACTTATTTTAAACCCTAGCTATATTCCAAGGGTAGAAGGAAACCTGGCCAAAGAACATGGTTGCTGGACACCATCAAAGACGACATCAGCCAGAGCACAGAACAACTCAAAGTAATAGTACAAGATGGGAAGATGTGGAGAGTTTTTTGTTAAATTCTCTGAAAACGATCCTGCTTTTTCAACACATTTCAATCCAAAGAAAATGTTGTTTTTGGATGTCAGCAGGAGAGTTTAAATGAGGCCTTTCCAAATATTTGTTTTTCATCATCGGTTGAACAAAGCAAATGGGCCCAGGGTAGATACTTGAATCAAGAGACAGCTGCTAACAGCTCACCTGAAGTGTCCCTGGCTTACACATATTATTCTAAGCCATGACTAAACCACAATTTGCCGGGTTTATATAAGACGCCAAGCCAATTTCAAACAAGCCACATGATAATGTAGTGTGAACCCAGCCTATGCCCATGATATGCCAGTTCAGCTATTATTTCTTGGGACTGTATATAGACAATTCATCTAAGTCAGCTGTGATTTTTTCAAAACTTGTATCACATGTAACAAATGCCTTCAACTCTTAATACATTTCCAAAAAGAGCATTTGTTGGCTAGTTCAAATTTGTGAACTACTTCAATCAGAAAACCTAATTGTTTCAACAGGGAGTCTTCTTTAGGAGGGCCGGGTTCAAAAAAGTTAGCAAGGTTCTGGATCTTGCCTGCAATGAAAATGGGTTCATTCTTCAAAATGGTGAAAGTTTTTAAGTCCGATTGGCTAAGCTGGAGTAAAATTAGCAATGCTGAGCCAAAATCTTCGTGACCGTCCGTGATGATGCAGCTCAACCTTTCGTGTGTGTGTGTGTGTGTGTGTGGAGAAAGGGGGGTCAAGTTGGATATGTTAGATTTAGACAGAGAAGAAATCAAACCACCACCACCCACTTTTTTTAAAATGGAAAGCCTGATGAAGTTGGACAGCTCCACTTTCAAGTGCATACAACACAGCAGGCATTGTGACGGGACAAAAAGATGAATCAAAGCTTAGGAAGGACGCAGAAACCAGGGAAGGCAGAATAACCAGGCATTCTAAATAGGAGTGAGTCTGATGTACACAGTAAAAGCCAGTATTTTTACTTTAGTGAATGCAAGATACAAATATTTTACAACAACTTCTAGCATTTTCTTAACCATTTGATAAAAAGTTCACTAGATTATTTATTGTATAATGAAGAAAAAAACACCACATTCAGGGAAAAAGATTAACTTAATTTTTTTTTCTCTTAAAGATTCATCTTAAAGATGGCAACAAAGTCCAGCTTGTGCCGCCAGGCGGCTTTAACCGCAAACAGCTTCGTCTGTGAACTGTCGACTACAAACAATTACTAAGTACATATATATTTTTTATTTCTTTTTAAAAAAAGCTTTTCTTTTTTAAATATAGCAAAGCAGTGTTTTCTTGCACAACAAAGTGAGGGGAAAAATTCTCTCTTTTTAAAAGTCTTTCACATTCTAAATTTCAAACTTTATTTTTCCCCATGGTTGATATCTGGGAGGAGTCATTTGTTCCTTATTTACTATATATTTCTTGTGCACACAGTACACTTGCCTATGCATTAATGTCCTACAATAGGTAAAAGGCTTAAAGCATTCCCTGCTAGGATTTTGCTATGCAATCCCCAGGAAAAGATGCAGCTGCTTTAAAGAGTTGCATGCAGCTGATGCATCCGCATCCTTACACATTCCAAAACACCTTTCTGGAACTGTTCCAAAGTGCTGCACAGCCTCCTTTCTTTATATGCTTTTTTTTTTAAAAGAAAAAGTTATTAATAAGTCTATGATTCTTTGCAGCTCCTTTCTGGAAAGATTTGTGTGCTATGCAGTCTTGCTAAAATTGTATCATAAATGCATTAAAACTATTTTACACCATCTACTCATGTTGAAACTCATTCATTAGCTTAAAAGAGGGAGTATTCAAACAGCCTTATTAAGAATGGCTGATTAATTAATGAAAGTCATTCTAGGAGGATTTAGTCCTCTGTCAAGCTGGTAAGCCTCTAGCAATCCTTTGGCCAAGGATCCTTGCACACCTAACTTACCTGAAGTTCTTGTTTTCAGCACAGGGTTTGTATTGAGGATATTTCAAGCCATTTCCTTAATGGAAATTTATCAGGTCAGAAACCACCCAATATACTTCTCTATATCCTTCTGAATGAATTTTCAGAGTGTTGCTAAAATCCTAGAGACTGGGTCTGAGAACCAGGATCAAAACAAAGAATGACTTCAGGCATGCTTTAAGCTGAGGGTTTTGCAAATAACAAGAATAATATTTCAGCATTTTAGAGTAGTTCTTTTGTCCAGCCAGATCTTCACTGATATAATACAAATTCCTCTAAAGTTTCAAAATTGGTTCTTCATGCCATAACAGGGACTGCAGGCAGTCCTTGTTTACCGACAGCCTTGGGCAATGGCCATTTGTAGTTACAAATGAAAAGCTCATTTTGTGACCAGTCTTTCCGTTTATGACCATCGCAGGTCTGTAAAGCAAAGCTGAAGTCGGATCGTAAGGACAGTCGCTTTATCTTCACTTAACGGTGGCTGGTTCCAATTGTTGGTTGCTAAACAAAGACTACCTGAATTATTCAAAAAGGAAAAAAAATTCAGGTCGGTGAGGCATGTGCAGCTAACTGAAGGGCCCTTTGGATGCCTGACCAGCTCGGGGCCCCAGAAGTTTCTGTTACGGAATAATTGCACAATTCCTGCTGGAAGGGAGGGTGATGATTCACAAAAGCACCCCCCTGTAAAAAAACGTTTTGCGTCACTGCAGCAACGTCAGTGCAAAAGTTTATATTTGGTACAAAGGAACAGCAAATGACAGCACGGAAACACCAACTCACTCAAACGCCAAAGTACAGGATATGCAGCTAAAACTAACTTAGCATCAACAACCCTAACCTGCCGTTGCAACTTTATCAACAGGGTCAAAAAGGGTATGTCCAAAAAAAACCCACCTAGAGTTATACACTAATTGTAAAAAAAAAAAAAAAAAATCACTTTTATTTTCATGATGTGTAATTCTTCCATGGGAGGAAAGGGAGAGATCCTAGAACAACCTGTTGGGCCGAGAATTAACAGTCTGATTTGCAGAAAGGATTCTTAAAACAAAACCAAAAAACCCACAGTTGGGCTGGCTTAATGTACAAAGCCCAAGACTTTCTAGTTTGCATGGTTTTTAAAAAGATGCATGATGATGTAACTCCTTAGAGACCTGCATAGGAATAAAGACTATTGAGATACAGTCAGCACAGCCATTTGCATTAAGGCACACAAGAAATGAGACAGTAATTGTGAAATGAAAAAACAACAACTCCCGTTTGAATCTGTGGGAAGGTCCATGTAGTGCCAGGGAAACATGCTCATTTGAAGCACCAGAAGGATCACTGAAGTGGCTGTGTTGTTCTCGGGGGGAGGGGGGGGGGAGAGAGGAAGGAAGTTTGACAGCATTTTCTGCTCTACCCTAAGAAGGTCTGAAGTAGCTAAATTCCAGCTCTTTTTAGTGCCTCAAAACACTGATAAATCATCACAAAGAAGGAGGACAACGGGTACTTTTTTGCAAACTGAAAAACAATAAGAAGGGGGCACACGCTCCACCACTGGTATACACGATTATTCATATGATAGAAGAAGAGAACAAGAATAGGTCATGTGTTAAAAAAAGGAAACATCTTTCATTTTTGTTCAGTTGGGAGATTTCCAGCGAGCCATGCTTAAGAGGTTTAGAAGGTTGTAAGTTAAGAAGGAATGCAAGTCAAAACTTGACCTTAAAACAAATTTATCAGCATTCCAGAATTCAACTGCAGGTGTTCCCAAATGCTATCTAGTTTAGATATGAAACAGAATTGCTATTCCACTCAAAGGAAAAGTCCAAAGAAAACAGCCAGTGACTGGCTCACATTTACAGTATAAATCACATGTTCAGATATACTATATGAGGTTACACACAACTGAAGTCCAGAGGGTTACTGATTCTCACAACTGGCTCCCCTACGTTTGTCCTGCCAGAATCCCAAGTTGAAAGCAGTTTTTGCAGTGTCAAATGTGAACGGATCCACGGAAATGAATTGTACGTGAATTGTACTGTAGGATGGTTCGCATGGCTTGCTGATCAAACCCGGCCATTTTTGCCAAGGGGAGGGATGACTTCCTTAGACGGCGGAAGAGAATCCACTGAAATGAAAGGGCTAAAAGTGAATATTACGTTCTTCTATGCTCCACGTTGTGGGATACTGACAAATGCACCCGTATTGTACACAATAAGGCCAAATTTAGACCTGGCGCGAGGCTGTCTTTAAATCTAAATTAGTGCAAATGAAAGCCACGGAGCAGCCCTTGCAAGGGTCCAGAGATGTAAATATTCTAACATGGGCTCAAAAATACAGGTCGGATATCTGAACACACTAGAGCAAACTCCTAAATAGCTGCCCGCCCCCCTCAAAGTGTAAACTCACTTTCTAAATAACTTAGCAAAATGCTTGTCCAAAATTAACACAAACCACTTCAAAATCCCCGTTTCTTTTTTGCTTCTCTGTGCATGTTTTCATTACATGAACAATGTGATAGTTCCCTCAACCTCAGAAGAGACATTTGTGAATAATTTGCCTTTAAAAACCATGTTGCAATAATCTTCTTCTATTTATGCAGGATGAATTCAATATCAGATTTCTATAAGAGGGATTAGGGAAGGATTTATCACTTTACTATCTATATACATATATATTTTCATATATATATAAATATTGATATATAGATATAGATATATACACACACACATGCACACACAAATATACACACATACATACATACATACATACATATATATATTTGTTTTCTTAAGTTTTCGCAGGTACTTACATGTATGGTATTCAGCTTTGTTCGGGTATTTTCCCACGTCATTATAGTTGTGCTTTTAAAGTTGTAGCAACGTTTCGGCAGAATCTCATCTGCCATCATCAGGCCTCTGTATTGTGTTCCTCTGTGAGTCAGACTTTTACAGTTGTTTCAGTTAACGTTGCTACAACTTTAAAAGCACAACTATAATGACGTGGGAAAAT